GTGGCAGCTGGAATCCTCACCCCTTACAAGCTTGAACTCAAACAAAAACATAACTGATGAGCCTTGAGTCCTGATTGGTACCGGAACCCTGAAAGCTTAAAATAACTTCAAGCTTCACGATTACATCGAGCTTGGCTCGATTGACAAACAAGTGAGTGGCTGCGAGATGGATGCCTAAGTAAGTACCGCCAAGGCAGCCCTCAGAAAGCTGCTGTGGGCACTTCCAGCTTGACCAGGCCCTGTGGTTCGTTTGATAGTGACCGGAGGCTAGCGGTCGACGTACTCGAGGTCACTTTCGCAGGTGATGCTTCCAACGGCAATCTTCCGAAAGGTGGCTGAAGCGTGGACCGTCAGAGAGCTTGGAGAAGGCAGTTTGCCCTTCGGCTTTGCATGATGCTGTCGATTGCCTCGCTGCATGGAGATCTGTCTCTTGAAGCTCCTGATCAGTCTCCTGATCCGTCTAGCTCCCCTGGTCTTGGGACAGAGTTTGGCCTTTCTGTGAATCAGGCGGCAGAAGCCCCTACAGCAGCCTTGGCAGACTCGCACATCGCCGGATTCACAAGATCACAAGAGTAGAAAGTGGAGGAGAGTTATCGCGACAAAGGTCGTGGACCTGGAAGGCTCCGAGCAGGTGCAGGAAAGATATCCATGATCCAAATATCTTTCAGCAAGGCTATGGTTGTCTGCGATGTCATGTCAGGAGCCGGACAGCAGAAACCGCGTGGAGTGCCCCGTGTGCTCCAAGCTCCTGAACAAGGCCAGCCACAGGGTTTCAGGCAGGCCACAGTCCCCAAACCACGTTTGCGATTGTAGGCGGCAAGACACTCTCACTGGGCGAAGTCGTTGCAGCTTGTCAGGACGAAGCAGACGCTCACGTGAACGCGCACTTCGAACGTGCCAAGCTCCCAGCTGCCTTGCCGGAGCTGCCACCGCAGAGTTGTCCTCTTCTTCCGAATTCATATTTTAAATTCATGCTTGAGATGCTTGTCTTCGCAAGATTGCCTCATCCCTTTGGGACCTCCTCTTGCAGGCAGAGCCGCCTGAGAAGCGCTTGCGCCTTGCAGGCCCTTCCTTCGATCAGATGGTTTCAGCAAGAATACAAATATGACTTCAGAGACCTCTTTGACAGTTCTGGCGGATGACAGCGAGCGGCATCCTGAGAGACGCATACAAAGTGCGGAGTTCTTACAAGACTGCCTTTGATGCTTACAGGATGGCCCTAAACCCAGGTGCGAGCTGGTGGAGTGAGTGGAAGGCAGAACGTTGCTTGCAAAGTGCGAAGTCGCACTGTACATAGACAGAAGCAGTCAGTGGAACTATGAAGTCAGATGAAAACCAACTGCCGAAGTCGCATCTCTTAGTCGTCCTACAACTGTAAGTCATAGCCGTGCTTGAACGTGTCATCACATTCGAGGCCTGTCCCACTGACTGGCATTGGTTGAAAACGTGCGGCTGCAGTCGTGAAAGATACGCTGGACGCAATGACACATTTTCAGCAGCCTCTGCCCCTAGATTTGTCAAGGACATGCAGAGAGCTCGAGATAGCAGACTTTGCTGTGGTGTGTCCAGTGCAGACAGGAGACTCATGACCTATTGCTTTGGACCTGGGACCGCTTCTGCAGTCCAGAGACCACGATCTATTCAGCTATGATCTCAGGAGACGGGATCCCCGAGTAGAAAGAGTCCAGTACAACGTTACTGTGTTGCCCTGGATGGAAAGCTGACCTCAGCATGGAACAGGTCTTCATCAACCGGCCGTTTTCGTGGAATTTCTTTGCCATCGTCCATGACAGTGGACTCTTCGAGGCAAGTGGACGTTGATGCAATTTAGCTGGACGATGGGGTAGCTTGCTCATCGCGGCCTGTGTCCACGCAGGTTCAGCAACTAGACGAAGAGAAGGACTTCGATCCATGTGGACTGGAAGAGGCAACGTGGTACCATGTAGGATGTTTAAGATTGAAATGTATGTTGCCTGCAGCATGCTGGTGAAATTCGTGGAAGCGCCAGGTCTACATCCACGTAGTAACGCGCAAGTTGAAGAATGACTGATTTCAAAAAATGCCTTGGTACCAATGACCAAGCAGACATAACTTGGTCAGCATCGTAGACTAAATGTAATTGAAGCTATCCGTCCTCTGGGATGTCTGCTCAGAGCATGTTTCATAATCAGGTCATCGTGCCAAACTGTTCAGTTACTTACAATCTTCTCGCGACGTGAGTGAAGCACAGACTTGGCACGATAGGCAGTCCACATTTCTCCAGGACCAAGGTGTGTAACCCGGCGTGTCGTGGTGCTAGAGCTACTACCTGAGCGTTGCGATGCTTTTTATCAGGGATCATATGCACCAGCTAGCGATTTTTTTGGGATATGCGACTCGAATTGAACCTAGATTATTGATTGACTCGGAATTAATTAATGATATTCAAAATCGAGAATCGAGATTGGATTGCTTCTATTATGGCCAAATGTACTCAAAGTTAATTATCATATTAAATTATATGAATACGATTTTTTTGAAAGTAGTCGGTGATGATTAGATTTGAGAATGCCTACGCCCGGCATGCTCTAGGATTTGGGAAATAAGGAGTCTATGATTTGGTCTGTGATTTTGCTGCGCTTCCATTCCTATTTGTGATTTTGGTTGTGATTTAATTGGGATATGGCTGGGATTTTGTTGAGATTTGGATGGGAGTCGGTCGTGATTTTGTTATGATTCGAGGGATTAGCTATGGATATGGTTTGCCGAATCTTAATTAAATCTAAATTTCGAGCTATATGGAATCGTAGGTGGATTATAGTTGGTAAATTATCGTCTGGGGGAAGGATTCGATTTAGACTCTTGAATATTATGATTTGGGTTGTGATAGGTTGGAGAAGCAAATACTCCAAATAGCAAAATTGTTCATTAAATTTCGGTTGGGGTTAGGATTCGGCTTGGAATCTTGGGTTAACATGACTTGATTGGCAAACAATTACGGTATGATAGGTAAATTATACGACCCGAATTTTTCTTATATGAATGATTATAGAAATAAAAATAATAGAATACTATTAAAAATTTTGTATGATGATAAAAATAGGTATAGTTATAGAAAGACTTTCTATTTTAAATTAAAAAATTATTGGAAAGAAAAGAATTTTTGCATGAATTATTGAATCTACGATTTATTTTGAATATTTATAAATTATTTGTTGATTTTTCTTTAATTGATGATTTTAAATATTCTATTTCTAATTCGGATAATGAGAAGGTTTTATTTTTTAATTATATATTTTATTATTCGATAATAATAATTTGGTTTATTTTTGATTTTTAGAAATATATTTAGCGATCGAATATTATTAAAATAATATAAATATATATTTTTCTGAGATGGGTAATTATCGCAAAATATTGGATGGAGAAGTATGCGAGATAATATTCTGAATGTTTTTCGTTTTTTTATTTTCGAAATAATAAATATATATTAAATTTTATGTATTTTTTGAAGATATATTAAATATTTTTTTAATTTTCGATTTAATTTTTGGATATTAAAATGATATTGATTTTATATATTTTTTAGGAAAATATTTTAAAAAAAAATCGTTCGAAAATGAAAAATTGACAACTGAATTTAGAAGATTTCTATTTTAATCTCTGATTCTCTAATATCTCTATCTTTTCTTTCTTATTTTCTCTATTTATTTTATTTTCTTCTTTTATTTATGAAGTCTTTCGATATTGACCTTTAGATTTTTGAAATGGAGGATATTATCTATTATTTGATGATTAAATCTTTCTATTTCTTATTCATGATTTCTCTTCTAATTTTTTTTTAAAAATTCTATAAAAGTAGAAGATGAATTTCTTATTATATCGTTCTCTCGATATTATTTTCCGCCTCGAAATATAATTAGATATATTTTTCTTTTTTTTTTAATATTTTTTCGCCATATCATAATCTTGATAATGAATAGATAAAATCCGTCTCCAGCAATTGAAAATTGAATTCTGCATGCTTTCCCACCAGATCGAATATTAAGACATATTTTCGGGGAGGTTATTCGCTAGGCGATGTATAGATAAGTAAGGATCGACGCCGCGAGCGAGATTAATTATTGAGATTATATATATATATTTGATTATTTCACGAGATTCATAGAAAGTAATTTGATTCGTTGATCTTTCTATATCTCGATCTCCTAAATCTTCTAATAAATCTAATGGTTGTAATTTGGAGCATCTCATGATTATGTGGATATCATAGGGGGTGCACGGATATGGTCGTGACGAAGGATTTCGTTGATGGATATCCGAAAAATAAATATAAAGGACATACGAAGAATTCGATATAGATACTATTTTCGGAAATCAGGCAATTATCTATAAATATATAGGTAATTGAGATTATATAAGATATTTGAATCTGCCGTAACAATAAAAAATCAAGTTTTGTCATATCGATCAAATAATCAAACTCGTGCCCAAGATAATTCGTCATGAATAAGAATCAATCTAAGATGAATTCATAATTCAAACGAAAGAATTAAACTATAATCTCAATCAAATCATCTCATCTTAAAATGATATATCTAATTTAGCAATAATACCGAATGGGAAAATATTGGCAATTATAAGAAATAATTTCAATGAATGAACTTATTAATTTCAAAGAATAATATTAGTTTCTCTCGGATATAAAAAATTCTATTTGAAAATGAAAATATAAGATATCGGAACGACGGAATATATCTAGAAAATTATTCGTAATAATATTATCAAATATTTTTTCCGAATCATATTCTATTATATGGATCTTATCGTAGCAGAAAGCATATATCTATTCAATTTAACGAAATATAATAAAAATATAATTTCAATATAATCCTTTAGTCGAGTTAAATTTTCATTCTATATCTAGAAAATATATATTATTTATATCGTCATTCTTATATAGTTTAACTATCAAAGATATAAATCATTCGATTAATCTAATTTCATTTCGCCAAAAATGAATCAAAATTTCAATATTTCAATATAATCATAATTTCAATAGAAAATATTACCATTTTTCGTGATTTTTCTAATATGTGTCATCTAAATAGCTCTCCGAAAATCTACCATATCGAAATCTCGGACATTTATCACGAATAGAAATCTAAGAGAAATTTCATTAAAAATCAAAAATATATTCTCAAATCTTCTTTTAAATCTCTCCTTAATAAATTTCAAATATTTCGACCTTATATATATATAAGACAAGAACCTTTATGAACAATTTAATGATTCTTCTTTGTGCAAAGTTGGTCTTTAATATTATTACTATTATTATTAATATTATTACTATTATTATTATTAGTAATAAATAAACAAATAACACCCTCTTTTATCGCAAACGAAATTTTCGGCTAAATCACACTTCGGAATATATATTCGTATAATTATACCTAATCTAGTAGAAATATAGAAATACATATTTCTCTACAATTGGAGCGTATATACTCATCAAAATTAAATAGAAAATCGCGCCTAAGATTCTCTCAACAATTATCTTATATTATTTATATAAGATAATAATTGTTTCGGAAATTATTTCTTAGAAATTGTTTCTGAAATAATTGTTTCGGAGTCTGTGGTTCTAAATTATATTGTATATATTTAGTATATCTTTTCTATTATATATTCTTTTCTTATTAATTTATATATTTGTCTTATTTTGATATTCTAAATTATTCTGCTAGACCCGTTTTATTAATCTTCTCCTATCAGACCCGTATCTTTCTAAGGCCGTCCTATTAGATCCTAAGGTCGTCTTATTAGATCTCTCTGACCAGACCCGTATCTTTCTAAGGCCGTCCTATTAGATCTCTCCTACTAGATCCGTATCTTCTATATTTATCTTTGTAGCTCCGTCTTATTAGGCCTTTCTTGCCCAGATCCATATCTTTTCTATATTTATCTATCTACGTCCGCTCCATATCTTCTATATTTATCTGTCTGGGTCCCGTATCTTCTAGATTTATCTTTCTAAAGGTATCTTATTGGACCTCCCTTGCCAGATCCGCATCTTCTATATTTATCTTTCTAAGCCCGTCTTATCAAAATATTCAAGTTTATATTCTGGTTTTTATCTTCTCAACTTTGCTTCTTATTCTTTTTGTTTTTCAGATCTATTTTTTTTTAGTTGAGCTCTATCTTCTAGATTTATATTATTAAGCCCGGCCAATCAAATACCCTTCTACCAGACCTATTTCTAGGCCGAC